GTGGTAAGAAAAATGTTTATACTCAAGAGGGGTGAGTTGACAAGAAAACAGAGAAAATTTCACTGGCTAACAGAAAGCGACATCTGTTTTACTTTTAACTAAATAAAGATAATCAAAATCAATGGGATAGGCGAGACATGGAACACGCATGGGCTACTGAGAAGTGCGTACAATATTTTGGTTTAAAATCATAAAGAGAAGAAATTACTCGGAAGACGTTGGTATAAATGGGAAGAAAATATCAAAACGGTTATGAAAATAGGGTCAGAAAATTTGGATTGGATTCATATGGCTCAGGATATGAAATCGCGTTGGGCTGTTGCAAACTCGGTAATGAACCACGTGGTTCACAAAAGACTATATATTTTTGACTTACTGAGCGATTATAAGCTTTTCAAGAAGGGTTAGCAACGACGATAATCTCTACTTAACATAAATTGAGCCATCACATTCTGGTTCCTGAAGGCTGGAGACATCCCACGATCTCTGTATTTTTATATTTAAAACAACTGAACTTAATATCGAATCACTGTTTAAGAAGATAAATTTCCCATTCTTCTGATGATACATATTTCAGTTTATTTAAGATTATTACATTTTCTATAATTACTCTCACAAACCCGAAGGTAATGTCTCGAGTCGCAATTAACGTCGAAGAACCATATCTCCACGAAACAATTCACTTCTTGTATAACAATCCAATCAAATTGTCTGTTTGTATACAAATTGTTCCGTCATTATTGTTCACTTCACACGAAGGCGAAGTAAAATTATTGTCAATGCACAGTGCTGCACTCTATCTTGACTTATTTTTACATTTGGTAGGGGGTGGGGTGGTCAGCATCACGCTCCGGCCGCGCTTTACCCCCGAGAAAGGACCCCGGTACCCATTGGATAGGATGCTAACCCCGGTTGTCCAGCCCGTAGCTAGTCACTCTACCGACTGAGCTATCCCGTGAGCTGATTATTTTGGCTACAGCATAGTTTATTTCTGGAGATTCTTCACAAACAAATTACGTAGAAACTTAATTTCATTTTTAAATCTTAACATATCTCAGTGAAAATGTCATTATTCAATATTAAGATTTTAAAAGTCCCATATTTGGTATACAAATCACGGAGATCCTACGTAACTTCTTTCAATATTAAATATTCGAAGAATTAAACTCGTCTGGAGGCTGCCTATGTTATATGGCATGCACAACTTTGTGAATTATTTCACTGTAAGCTCAGTAGAATTAATATAAACACACAACAATTTTTTTTTGTTTAACGACTTCATTCTATTGTACTCAGTCCCTGAGTTCTTGCAGTACTTATTTCTGACGCAAACACTGTTGCTATATCAGGGCTGAGTTATTACAGAAATTGTTATCACGTTAATAAAATGTTCTGTCATTGTTCTACACTTCATCCGCCAAACGAAGGAACAACAGAAACGTAGTAACGCCTACGACCCAAACTTCGATGTGCTGTGACCTTGAACCTCTGCTTAGACTCGGGCTGGATCCCCCACCACGTGCCGGTGATATCAGGACGCGATTCTCCGGGTAGGTACGGTGCGTACCTAGGACTGGAAGACCTAGGGTCGGGACGACGACCCTATGACCGGGTCGTTGGACCAAAATGTTAGTCTGTTCCTCTTCTTCGTCTTGTTCCGCCGACCCGTACTGATCCATGTAGTCTTCGTCCTCCTCGTAGCGCGGGGTAAAAACTCTACGTGTAGGGCCGGGAATCCCTGTGATACCACAACAAAACATCAGTGTAACCTTCTACAGGGAGGATAAGGTTTTCACACATATTCCATTGCCATTTTTATTAGAAAATGAAACAAAAGCCATTGGATTTAACACACAACTTGAGCTCATAAAACATCTACCATTTAAAACGTAACCCCAAAGACGGTGCATGAAAATTGGGGGAAAAAATAACAATTTTTCGTTAACTTTCTTAAATATGAAATCTGTGTTATAGACTAAAGCAGTTTTAGGTTTAATACAAATTAAGTTGTGATTTTCTCGCTAAGGGCAGAAGAAAACATCGATAAATAATTATCTTGTTCAAAGAGCCAAAGTTTTGGGTTAATTTCTCATAAAGTTTCGGTACTCAGATATACGTTTTTATATAACACAGTGTAGAACTGAACAGCATAAGATAAAAAGGATGGTGTTAAAAACGGCGTAAATCTGTTTCTTCAATGAACAAAGAACTCACCATAGAGACGAATGTTACTTTCCACTTCGCCGAGAGAGTTCTTAGCGATACATCGGTATGATCCGACGTCTCGTGCCTGGAATTTCTTGATCACCAAGATCATGTGCATTTCGAAGAACGACCTGGTAATAAGTTTCACCTCGTACTTGTCACTAGAAATCACCATCTCTCCTGAAATCAAGAGGTCTCCTACAGACCCTTAATGCCCACAGTTTATACTTTTCATTTTAGTTCTTAATATGTCTGCTTCTATTCCTGTATCGCGATATTATACCAACGTTGTAAAAATATGTACCGAATCTGAGGTTTTTTGTTATGTTTCATTTCGTTGCTTTTATCTCAAGCGCGTCATTGAATTGACGTAATCATAAATATAATGGTTCAATTCAGGTGTCTGTTGGGACGAAAATGGAATGTTAATAAACGTGAAGAAAGAATAAAACCAATATATATTGTTCAGAATCATAAGCACGCAAGAAATAGACGCTTTAAAATGGAGCAGAATTAAAATACGAGAATAATTTCATAGGTGATATAAATAAGTGGTAAGGTCTCTGTATTATTATTATTATTACAAAATTCAAAAGCGAATAACGCCAGACAATAATAGTGATTAATCTCAAAACAGCATCATAGGTATTTGATAAAATGTAGACATAGTTATGTTTATGAGCTATGCTATGAATATATAATCCCATATGAATTAAGTAAGCATAAAAGAAACATGTCTGAATTTAATTTCAATCCACAACAAATGTTTAATAAAACCAAAAACCTATGCTACGTATATTCGATATTAAAACCACATTAAAGTGAATGACAGAAAAATAAAGAAAAGTTAATATTTCAGTAAAATATAATTAAAATCCCGGTGTTTATTTCGGCCATAAAGTTGAAAATCCACATATTATTAAACTTTATATCTTTCATAATATTTAATAATTTAGCCCGTACCGCAAAGAGAGCACTACTCTTCATCATTAAAAAGTTCAATTAAGGAAATTAAAGAATTAATTCCTACTTACAATGAGTATCATGACAGTTAAAAACGAAATATTTTTCTACACGAAGTTAAAGTATTTATTTATTTATTTACAGTTTATTAGACGACGCTGTCAGTGTCTCAGATTATATAACGTCGAATAGAGTAATAAGACATACAAGATACGAAACGATCCTCGCCTAATTCTTTGTGGTATCTAGGCATGTCTGGAGGGACAGAGAAAAACCACGGCAAACCTCAGGATAGCCGGTTTCCGGATAGAGACTTGAGGTCGATAACTCAATAATACGAAGCAGGAATTAGTGCAACATTCCTTTAGTTTTCATGACGAGACGTAGCTAGCAGTTTAAGCATCCACTTGATGATCTGATGATTGAAATGTGTGGAGAAGCAGACGTTTACGTAAATAAATGAAGCCGTAGATAATAACGAAATTATGGCTCCCACTTGCTTTCTTTAAATAAAATGGTGAAAATTACTGACGAAATAGACTACTAAATTGTATAATATGTAATATTCAATTACTACTACACGATGTATATCAAATATCTTGTTATGGAAGTAATTAAGTTTGTATAATTTACAGAGTGTACGAAGTTGAGGTATTGAGAAATTACAATTTGCATTTTAATATCTTTATAAGTATATTATCCTATAATTTAATTTTACTACTTGAATTTAATTCAATATGATTTACGGTCTAAGCATCTGCTATAAATTTTCATGACGTTGTAAAGACGTAATACTTAATGTGCTAGCGGGCATTTAATACTGACAAAATGGAAGTTTCACTTTAGGGTATTTGAATATTTTTACTTGTGCTAGTGGTAAAAATAATTACACATTCAATTAAATTTAATTTCTGAAGCAAATAGAACCATCATTAACATTATGTCTCGTTTTAATAATCATATAATAGACATAAATTCAATACGTTGAAGCAAAAATCTTCTAAATAATATTTAAAAATTCCATTATAAAAGCCAGTTGCTTGACGTTGATTAAGAAAATAAACGCTGTCTATTATGATAATCACAGGAGACACATAAATACATTCAGTGCAAAAACCCTCAGAGTTATACATCGTTACAGTACGTGATGCAATCTATCATTCTGCTTTAAAGAGTTAAATGTAGTTAATATTATTGGAAGTCGTCGTCAGATGATTTTAGTTTGCGATAATTTCTGTTCCTATTTGTAAGTTTCTTGCCAGGAAAGCAAATTTATATTTACTATGAAACGTATTAATTTAGAATGGAAAATCATGATTTCAGAGTGTAATAATGTGCATTACTGATAAATTTTACGAATTAAGTTAACATATTTAATAATCATCTCAACGGAGTGTATTAAGTAAAAAATGAACAGGCTGTGTCTTACAGTTAGTTAAAAGTTTAAATTTTCCAGAATACAGTATATAAAATGTTACCATAAAATTATAACACGGATAAAACTGTCCCGAGTCGACTTAGCGAGCGTCATATCAGTTACGTCAGAGCAGTACTCCTGTCTTGATAGGCAACCTGTCAGTACGTTACATGACGTCACACGTGCGATGCAACCAGAACGGTGTGAAGTAACGTCATGAACAGGCCATAAATTCTCCCTTGTCGATACACGGGAACGTTCATTGCTTGACAGGCCACGATTTTTAAAAACAGCAAGGCGTCAAGACACGTGATGAAGAATGTGTTCTCGTAACTGACATCTCGCAGTCCGATCCACCACCTTCGGATTTATCATATCAGGGCTTTCAGTAATATATGGCGTAACGTAAGAACGAGAATGAATAGAAAGCACACATCAATACTTACGCAGACAGTTTTACCGGGCTGTGGACTGCAGTGGTAATACAAAGAATATCTTTTTACAGGATCCAGCCTACATCGCTCGCATAACATGAATACCATTTACAGACTTATGTTGGCCACCCTGTTCGCCTGGCCTCTTATCCAATTTTTTTCTCTGGGGATATCAAAAGGGCAAAGCGTAGGACACCCGGCCAGCAACCCTTGACGATCTTAGAACACAAATTCGCGAAGAAATTACAGCGGGTAATGAGAAAGGGTGTATGTAACCAAGTTCTGAAATAAACTAAAGGGCGAAATTCTGTTGGTTAAAATAAAGCCTAGTATTCACAATGGACGATATTACAGTGCCCACAGAAACTACGCTCGACTAAACTAAATTTTCTTTGGTGTTAATTTAATTCGCTTTGTACTTGCATCTAGAGATTTCAGTGCCATTTAATCTCGGTGAATAAATGTGGTAAGTCATCTAAAACCGAAGCAGTTATCTGCCTGTTCATATGATTAATACGATAGGTCTTTCATCTCAACCGATAAGAGTTAGAATGGACAGTTAGAACATTCAATTCCCTTAGGACATTTCTGCCACTCGCCAAATGTTACCTTCGAAACGTAGCTGGTTCTCACGCATCGACCAGAAATAAAAGACAGGCTATTTTACTACGCATAGTAGAATTCTAGTTTCCACAAGGCTTTTGACAGATACAAAACGGAAATCAGTAACTAAATGGATTTAATCGTATTCAAGAGAATAGTGTGAAGAGTAGAAGTATCACACGAAATGGCTGAAATTCCTAGTTATCGGATTGAGTACCGATGTTGAGTAGGCGAGTTTAATTCGACAACGGATGGAGGGCGAACAGACAGACGCGTGTGGGCGTCAGACGGCTTCAGCCAGTCTAAATGGCTCTCTGATGCGGTCAGGCGTTCGCTTCACGAACTGGTGTGGAGTTAAGTCTACCGATCTCATAGACGAGCTTTCACAGTCTCAAAAGCTATTATTTTATGAGTTCTATTCAGCGAAACCTACTGGCTTTTTTATTTTTATTCTTAACTTTCCATTGAAGGTTTCTTTATAAGTGTATTAAGTTATTATCAAAGAAAAGGCGATTACTGGAACATGGAGAAGTATTTTTGTGGTTTTTGAGTAACATTTTGTTAAGAAGACTGAGAAGTGCTTGTAAAATCACTGCTACAATTCTGCTCAGTGGCGAGAAGAGGATTTTAATCTTTTCAACCCGAGGCTCGCCTAAATAATATTTAATAGCTAAGATCGCACCGCAAAGAAAACACAACACTACGCCATTACAAAGGTCAACTGGTTAACGATGTCTACAGTGAGAATCATACGAAAAATATAAACGCAAATTTCAAGTGTTATTGATTCTTAAAGCTGACAGGACGTATAATTACCAGTGGGTTTAAAGGATTCAAAACAACTCATTTTTATAAAATTCACGTATGAAATTTCATACGCTTATTAACTCCTAGTTCCGATTTTTAAAATGATCATTATTTAATATCACAATAAAATGGCGACAACGGGAAAGGTCTGCGTAAATTACGCCATCACGCAAACACACAAGCGCGTGCGACATGTGACGTAGTGACACTGTCAACGGAAAAAGGTTTCTAATCGAGCCATTTTTTACAATTAATAAATTACCCAGTAAAATAATAGATGCTTATAAACATACGTCACTACAAAAAATGCTTCTCACCTTCCTCTTCCTGAAGATAGAAGGAAACTCAGCAATCGAAACTCCAAATACATATATTTTATCCAAACTATTTGCAGAACCCAAAAAAGGAATCTATAGACGAAGAGTTAGCATTTTGTAAGACTGATTAATAGAGTTCAATTGTTAGCTTCATGCTTTGGCTGTTTTATCCCACGTAAACGACCATCGATAACCATTGGCCCAAGGTCTGAGAGGGTCACAGAGTTTGTTGGAATAGCAATCGAATATATATACACCTCTAACAGAAAACTAACCCTTGGCTGACTTAAATAATCATTACAAACTCATAATTAATTAACACGGTGTCATGAAATTCTCCGATATTTATGACACATGTTAAATAATTTAATAAAAACATAAATTACATACATATTGTGCAGAAGTTGAGAGAAGTAACACAAAACCAAGAAACCAGAGAAAAATTACAGCAGAAATTACGATTCCTTCATTTCACAGTAAGGACCAATATAAATGTCTTAGTCAAAGACGAATAGTTGCACACGATTCTCGAGTCGTTAGCAGCCCCAGTGTTCGTCCTCTCGCGTTACAAGTGAAGAACTCGAGTGCTCATGCCAAGGGCTGTTTCCGCGCCAATCAGCCAGCCATTGTCTTTCT